ATTACACCTCGAAAACACATCCCCTTGAAATACAAAAATCAGAACATCTGTGGAATTTCATCTTTAATGACCCAAAGAAAGATTTCCAGTTGTTGTAGCCTTCCTCTTTATCATGGAATTCCAATCATTCTTTGCAAAGAAAAATCATATTAACTACTATCTTACAGATTCCTTTGTACAAAATTCTGCCTGTTTTCTTTAGATGGAGATGTGGTCATGTGTGTCCTACTAAATCAACCCAAAGGAGTGAAAATATTTGGCATCAACTTCAACTCACATTTCCTAAAAAAAAACAATCAGCCTGATGACAACTGTTGTTGCATGAAAGAAGAACTCGAAAATGACTCCATGCACTATCAAAATGTCCAATAGCTCGGGTATCGCAACATCGCCTCATAAATGGTAACCTTATCTAAGGGAGGAGAATAGGCTCAATCGGTTGGGGTGGGTAACTTCACCACCATATCATTCAACAAAATAAGTTTTTTGCTGGAATAGTATCAGGTCATCCTCCATCAGTTTTGATATCACATCTTGAGGATTTTAGATTTTTTTATAGTTTTCAAGATGGTGGCATTACCTTGACATCAGTGTCTCAAAATGTAAAAATTCTTCTGTGAAAATCACAATAGCAAAGAGTAAAGGAGCTCTGTTGATTGCACAATAATATTGAGAGACTAAGGTGGGAAACAATAAAGTGTAAGGGATCTCTGTTGATCACACAAATAGGGTAAGAGATTTCGATGTATAACAACAACACTAAAGTGAGATTTGTTAATCTCACAAAAGGCTAGGAGAGTCCAATTTTTTACCTTCTTATAAGCTCAACATGATCAAGAAAAGTGTTAAAAAGGTTAAAATCCAGGCCTGCCCCGCTTAACAAGCCTCCACCATCCGATCAAGCCAAAATTAATAGTTGGATTGTGTTTTCATTAAGAATTAGCTAGTCCTTTATGGCCTTATGCATGAAATCATAGCTCCCATGAATTTGATCTACACAACGGATCGTGTGACCACGCGATCCAACCATTAGCAGGATATAATACAACATCCCATACAAGAGTCCGCTATTTGATCTTGATTCATGCAAATGCGAGACGAAGCGAGCATCATTCGTTGTCGCATCATGCGAATCAAGGGAGAGATCTTCTCCACCATCCAGTGCTTCACTAGTGTGAACCACACCCACTAATTCAGTGATGCTCCTCGACCTAACACAACTCACGCTCCGAACCATTTCCTTCACCACCATATCATTCAACAAAATAAGTTTTTTTCTAGAATAGTATTAGGTCATCCTCCATCAGTTTTAATATCACATCTTGAGGATTTTAGATTTTTTTATAGTTTTCAAGATGGTGGCATTACCTTGACATCAGTGTCTCAAAATGTAAAAATTCTTCTGTGAAAATCACAATAGCAAAGAGTAAAGGAGCTCTGTTGATTGCACAATAATATTGAGAGACTAAGGTGGGAAACAATAAAGTGTAAGGGATCTCTGTTGATCACACAAATAGGGTAAGAGATTTCGATGTATAACAACAACACTAAAGTGAGATTTGTTAATCTCACAAAAGGCTAGGAGAGTCCAATTTTTTACCTTCTTATAAGCTCAACATGATCAAGAAAAGTGTTAAAAAGGTTAAAATCCAGGCCTGCCCCGCTTAACAAGCCTCCACCATCCGATCAAGCCAAAATTAATAGTTGGATTGTGTTTTCATTAAGAATTAGCTAGTCCTTTATGGCCTTATGCATGAAATCATAGCTCCCATGAATTTGATCTACACAACGGATCGTGTGACCACGCGATCCAACCATTAGCAGGATATAATACAACATCCCATACAAGAGTCCGCTATTTGATCTTGATTCATGCAAATGCGAGATGAAGAGAGCATCATTCGCTGTCGCATCATGCGAATCATAGGAGAGATCTTCTCCACCATCCAGTGCTTCACTACACCCACTAATTCAGTGATGCTCCTCGAGCTAACACAACTCACGCTCCGAACCATTTGTCGCCAGACCTGCTAAACCCAAGTGAACCACCGACACACCAAACCCGTGTTCGAACCAGTTCCCCACCATGACCCATGGGACCCGATTGACCTGCTGACATGCCATTCACACAAAAGATTTAATTACTCTTTGATATTATCTCTTGGTTTACTCATTTACTTTGTTTGATTCATTAAGTTCGGATGAATAATTTTCAACTGTTTAATGAATTACACTTGTAGCCGAGTCTTATTTCTTGGCTATTTATTATGCTATATTTGGTGGTTTGGTCGCCTAGATATATTGATAGCATATGATTTCATTACACTAGGTTTTTTCTATCATTGAATATAAATGGATTTTATTGGATTGGATATGGGTAAACTGGGCATTTTCTTAAATTTATTATCATTAATTCAGCTCCTTCTCTTATTTTGGCTACAATCTTTTTTGTGGTTATTGAAAGATATGTTTTTTGTTGCTTGGAGTCACTATTTTTCGATTTGATGTTTGGTGTAGATATTGTTTTTATTGTTTCTATTTGTATATATTGTTGTTTTTAAAGTTATCTTTATGAGTTCTGGTTTTTGAAGCTCTATTTCAAAGATGCCAGCTTTCCTTTTTTTTGGTTGCTGACTTGATTGGAGGTAGCTCATTTATTGGTTGCCTTCTTTCGGTTGGTAGTGTTGTTGGTTTGAGTTTTTGACTCTTGGTGTTGCTCGATAATGTCTTTGTTTTAAGTTGGAGCTTGGAAGAGATTCTTTCTTTAGTATTTGTCTCTGTTTAAGTTTGTCAACTGGTTACATTGGATGTAGAGGGCCACTGCTTTTATGTGTTTTTGTTTGTTGTTGATGTATATTGTATTCTTTGTTTGGTGATGGGGTGTGATTTTCATCTATGTATGTATGTATGTATGTATGTATGTATGTATGTATGTATGTATGTATGTATGTATGTATGTATGTATGTATGTATGTATGTATGTATGTATGTATGTATGTATGTATGTATGTATGTATGTATGTATGTATGTATGTATGTATGTATGTATGTATGTATGTATGTATGTATGTATGTATGTATGTATGTATGTATGTATGTATGTATGTATGTATGTATGTATGTATGTATGTATGTATGTATGTATGTATGTATGTATGTATGTATGTATGTATGTATGTATGTATGTATGTATGTATGTATGTATGTATGTATGTATGTATGTATGTATGTATGTATGTATGTATGTATGTATGTATGTATGTATGTATGTATGTATGTATGTATGTATGTATGTATGTATGTATGTATCACATATATATATATATATATATATAATGATAATAATAAAATAAAAACTTTAGCTGGTCGTCTTAGGGTCTGTTTGGGACCGCGTTTTGACTGCTTCACGACGGCAGGCGGCGATATTTTGCTGTTTGGTTCGGTGTCCCCCATGCGGCAGGACACGAATTTGGTCGCGCACAACCATAATACCCTTCCGGGCCGAAGCTCTCACAGTTAGGGCTGTCAAAAAAGCTCGTTGTTCGCAAACAGTTCGTGTTCGGTTCGTCAATGAGTTCGTGTTCGATTCGTTCGATAAGTAAACGAGACAAACGCGAACAAATTTTTTTCGTTCGGTTAGTTAAACGAACCAAACACGAACAGTAATGCGTTCGTTCGTGTTCGAATCGTTATTGTTTGAAATATAAAATAATATAAAATAATTATATATAAAAATTTATTATCGAGCTTATTTCAAACAAACTAAATTTTAAACGAACCGAACACGAACACAAGCTTTGTTCGTTCGTGTTCGGTTGGTTTACACCCCTACTCACAGTCCCTACCTCCCCACTGTCGCGTGTGTTTGATTGCTTCGCTCGACTGCAGCTCGCACTCCTCGCTCCCTGTCGCGCAGATCTCATAGTTCTTGGAGTTTGGGCAACAGTGTAATGAGGCGATGATCCGACGAAGAAGGGGAAGACGATTCCTCGACGCTGCCTGTATTTGTGTGGAAGCTTGAAGGAGCACATTAAATTCATATGCATGTCATCCTTCTTTTTATATTTTCCTGTTTATTACTTTTTTAAATTTAATTGAAGAATATGCTTGAAAATAAATTTTTATCTTAATTCAATTAGTATTAGTACTATATTTATATGATATATTAGTCATACAATATATATAAAATTTTTAAGTGTTGGATGGGTAATTTTAGGATAGTATTAACAAAAAAAAGCCTTTGAACTAAAATAATCTTCTGTCTGTGTTGTAAGAATAATATATTACATATTCATATTAGAAGTTTCAAATATGTGGAAAATTTTAGGATATTTCTGTTTCTGAAGTATCAAATATGTGACTTTTACAGTTCTATTTTAAAAAAATTTATTAAACAATGGTAGAATGGTCATTTTTCCAGAAACTGTTGTTGGACAACTATTTTCACACAGCTGCAATGAACAAACAGTCAATTTTCCTATAACAATTTCCTCGCAGTAGCTTCCTAAGACAACCCTAAACATTAAATTTGTATGCATGTAATCCTTCTTTTTATATTTTCCTTTTTATTACTTTTTAAAATTTAATTGAAGAATATGCTTGAAAATAAATTTTTATCTTAATTAAATTAGTATTAATACTATTTTTATATGATTTATTAGTCATACAATATATATACAACTTTTTGGTGTTGGATGGGTAATTTTAGGATAGTATTAACAAAAAAAAGTCTTTGAACTAAAATAATCTTCTGTCTGTGTTGCAAGAATAATATATTACAGATTCATAATAGAAATTTCAAATATGTGAGAAATTATAGGATATTTCTGTTTCTGAAGTATCAAATATGTGACTTTCAGAGTTCTATTTTAAAAAATTTTATTAAATAGGAATAGAATAGTCATCTTTTTGGAAACTGTTGTTGGACAGCTATTTTCACACAGCTGCAATAAACAAACAATCAACTTTTCTATAATAATTTTCTCGCAGTAGCTTCCTAAGACAGCCCCAAACAATACAACTGCAGTTACAACTGAAAAATTGAGAAGCAGGTGCCCAAAACAGACCCTTAATTTATCTATAATTCAGGTCATGCCGGCTTATAAGGCCCGGCATGCTCCAGCGCTGCCCTTGTTGGAAGGACTTGCCATTTCTGTTTCTCTGTTACTCTTCTGCAATAACCAACAATTAAAGAAGATAAAGCAGAAATTTCACAACCCTAGATCCACGCCTAAAATAGTAAAATAACCTCTATCCTTATCCCTTCCCATTCTCCTCTCCTGCTACCATCTTCGCCTCAGATGAAACCTAGGGCTAAGTAAAGCGCCATTCCAGAATCTCCAACACAATCCCACGCCGGAGATCAATTCTACAGCGATTCATTGCAATTCCGAGAAAAATCGTGCTCGAGATGGCTCAGGCGAGGATCCGGCGGAGCAGAACAACACTCCTCGAACAGATCTCCGTGATGGAACCCACAAACCTCCGCGATTTCCTCAATATCCGCCAGGAAGACAACATCCCTGCTGCCGCAGCAACCGCCGCCGCCGCCGCCGGCCGACGTAGCGCCAACGCTGTAACCCTAGCGTCGATCCTGGAGTCAGAGAAGCGCGGTGAGCGGAGACTTCTTGACATCCTCCGGGAGGAAGATGGAAGCAGGGGGATCCAGCCGGAAGCGTCGGGGGGGAGAGTGATTAGGGTTCCGTTGATGACGTTGATGGGGCTAACGGAAGAGGAGGTTGGAGAGAAAGCTACGACCGTCGGTGATGTGGTGGCGGAGGAGATGGTGTGCTGCGTGTGCCTGGTGAGGAAGAAGGGGGCGGCGTTCATTCCTTGCGGGCACACGTATTGCAGGGTGTGCTCGCGGGAGCTGAAAACCGGAAGGGGGAGTTGCCCCCTCTGCAACGGCGTCGTCGTTGATGTCCTTGATTTATTTTGATCCTTGAGTGCTTGCTAACCTGGTAAAGATTTTGGATTTCAATTCTCTGTTATTTCTGCTTCGCATCTGTGATGATGGTGATGATTTACCCCAAACTTATTTTTTTTTTTTTTTTTTTTTTTTTTTTTTTTATGAAGGCGATGGAAATGAAATGAATTTAAAAAATTAAATGGGAATATTTTTAATTTATTTATTATGAGTGTATTATATATATTCAATATATTAATTAATTAATAGTTTTCTTTTTATTTTCATTTTAATTTAAATTTTAAATTTTTAAATTTCATGATTTAATTTTGAGTGAAACATTTTCGCTGGATTTTTATATTTTAAAATCTTGATTATGCTCCAGATGACTTTACAATTGAAAAAATTTATGTTTGTTTGATTTATTTAATATTCCGCTCTACTTCATGAAAATATATTATATTCGGACGAATTTGAATGTATTTAAGTCTAACGATGGGGTGTCACGTGTCAAGTATTAATATCAGTCAATGTCACTGTATTGCGGTAGAACCCACTTGACACGTGGCGCCCCATCATTGAACTCCTAACATAAATTACGTTAAGAGTCTTGATTTAATATTTTCTCTTACTTCATATGTTTGAGCTCTCTCTCTCTCTCTCTCTCTCTCTCACATTCAATTTTATAATTTTATATATCTAACACTTAAATTATTATACTTATATGTTCAACTCTTTGGTACCATATACTTGTGCATGAAAATGATTGTAATATTTTTTTATGCTGATGTTAAAACTTGCATATCTAATATTTATATTTATACATCAAATATTTAACTTTTTATATTTACATAATATTTTAATAACTCAATCAAATGTAAGTTTTAAAAAACAATCCTTACTTTAAGAAAAATTTAAATTTGTGGTATTGTTGTGTAATTTAATAATTTAGACGTTAATTACATAAATCTCCCAATTTTAAATTATATATAACAATTTATATGCTCATGCGAGTGTACAATTTTCTGTTGCATTGTTCTTCAAAAATATATTTTAAATTTTAAAAATTCACTACTAATTTTTTCAGTGGTAATAATTAGGGCTGTCAGAACAGCTCGTTTTTCGTGAACAGCTCGTGTTCGGCTAATCTCGTGTTCGGCTCGTTCGCTAAATTAACGAGTCAAACACGAACAATAAGAAAAAAGATTTGTGCGTTCGTGTTCGGCTCGTTTTGGCTCGAAATACTATTAATTATATATATATATTTGATGAGTAGTATTTTTAAAAAACTTAATTGACTACAAGGCTATAAAGATTTATAGTCAATTATAAGTATTAATTAAGAAAATATAATAAAAAATATTAAATAGATTCAATTGATGTTTTAATATAAACAATAATTTTTAAATCTTGCCTCAATCATTGACATCTTATGGTTGTCTAATTAGGGTTGTCAAAACGTCTCTTTGTTTGTGAACGGCTCGTGTTCGCCTCGTTAAGCAAACGAGCCGAACACAAATACATTTTTTTGAGCTCAAAATATAAACGAACTGAAGACGAGTTGTGCCTGAGCTCGCCCGTGTTCATCTCGTTTAGACCCTTAGTCTAAGCAAACGAGCCGAACACAAATACATTTTTTGAGCTCAAAATATAAACGAGCTGAAGACGAGCTGTGCCTGAGCTCGCTCGTGTTCATCTCGTTTAGACCCTTAGTAACAATCCTTTTTTATAACAAAATAAATGGAAATAAAATCATTTATTTTATAACTTTTTTTGAATCCACTGTCAAATGAAACACCTGAATGATTATTAATGATTAATTAATTTAAAAAATAATAATGACTTGCATTTAATATGGCATTTGCATTAATTGGTGCAAGTTTAAAATTATTATTATAATGCGTGGTGGCATAATATAAAATAAGAATTATATTTATTAAAAATAAATTTTATTTTATTTATTTACACATTAATTGGGTTTTTATTAATTATTCCATATAACTTTTGGGCTATGGGAGCAATTGAATTTAACATTTATAATTTTTCATTTCATTTCTAATCACAGTGCCACATATTTCACAAATTTAAACACATTTATGTCATGCATTAACTCACAATACGAGGGAATAATTTGCATCGGGTGTCCAATAATAATGGGTCACATGACAATTTGGGCTCATTAACATGCACGGTTCGGATCCGCGTTGTCACGTGGCACATTGTTATTGGACTACTGATGTCCTGATACAATAATTTTTCCAAAGTTAGAAGGTTATTGGGTAGGGCAACTGGCACCATTAGATTATTTATTAAACTCCTAAATATCATACTATACATCAAAAATTTTACTCTGCTTACTAATAAATATTTTGAATAATTTAATATTCCTATTTATAATAAATTTAAAAAGTTAAAAAATGAAAAAAAAAATTAAATATTCTTAATATTTTTTAATTTTTTTTACTTGAAAAGATAAATTTTATTATTCTTGAATTTTTTTTTTTATTAATGGACATATAAAGTAATATCACCTATCATTGAAATGTTAGCTCCCTTGTATTTTCTTCTATAGGGAAGATAAATAACTCCATATTTAAATATAAAAATATTGCAAGAAATCTAATGGAGTATTTCTAATTCATTTCATATGAAATCAGAGAATTGTTTTATTGAGCATCTCACCTAAGGGACCAAGTATGCCTCATTATCCAAGAGATCGACTCATTCAAGGAGGACAACTTGCACGAAGCCAAATTGATCGGCGATGAATTACTTCAAATGCAGAGTAGACTGATAAGAATGTGACATGACGAATATTAAGTGGAACAAATATTCAAATAAGACATTGACAAGAATAGTATTAATTATAATGTTAAAATCAGAATAATAGAAGAAAAGATAAACCATAGATCTTTCGAGACCCAAGTGGAACAAGTACTTATTTAGTAGTACATGAAAAAATCTTCTATAAATAAATAAAGATCTATGTAACAAAAAAGAAAATAGTCCGTAAATTTTGTGTCTGATGCCATTTTTCTCTTCTAAAAGGAATAGCAATATTCATATTCCAGCTCTGCTCTTTTGAGCCAACTCTTCCCTTGAGTTACGAGTCAATAGATAGAACATAAATTTTATGTATTCATAAAATTTAATATTCAAATATTCATAGAAAGAGGATCGTTTATGTAGCTACGCTCAAGCATAACCACTCAGGTGCCTTTAAATAAGAGATGTTCTTCCTAAATGAAGAGACACTGACTGACACGCGAGCGCGCCATATACACACACAATCACTCTCTTTCTCTCTCTCTCTCTCATCCTCATCGTCATCCTCCTCATTGACAAAGATAATTTTAGTCACTTTCTCTTCTCTTACAAGCCCTGAGTTTTCCGAATGTATGTTATGTTTATAAGCTCACTATCAATATAAATTATGAAATGAGAAAATTCCCCTAAATTATGAAAATATTAATTTTATTTTAGCTTTAATATTCAAATATAACAATTAATTTATTTTTTTTTTTTGCAGATAAATAAAAAATAAATTTTGATTCCATAAAATATTCCAAAATTAATTAAGGGGTCCAAAAATTTATCTGAAAATGAATTAGTTTACCCACTTCTTCCCAACTCAATTTGAGTCATCCGTTTTCAAGTAAAATTTCAAACTCATTAGGTAGCAGAAAGCAATTTGATTCTGCTCTCTCGCAACCTCTGCAGCTTATTTAAATCATCAAAACAGAAGTTTGTTAGGGTTGGGCTAGCTAACAACACGAACATTTCCTTAGCTCTCTCTCTCTCTCTCTCTCTCTCTC